TCACTGAATTGAATTGAATAGCATGGAAACCATTTTGATAAATACAAAACAATATTAAGTTTACCAAAATATAGGACAGCGAAGCTTAATGTTTGATTTTATGACTGTATACTTTGTATCAAATGCGTATCTGTGACTTCATTTTTAATTTATAAATATTCCCATGTTGTAATCTATTTATTGCCAAATATCTGTTGCCTATTTTTTATGAAATTCTCTGACATCTGTCTGAATTACTCCAAGGTGCCCCGATAGGAACATTTCTTAACTATGTCACTCATTATCTTTTTGCACGATGGTCCTGGTGTGTGCGAATAAGCCCGCCCATCATTTCTTCATTTGAGTCACTCTTTGGAATGTGAGATTGTTAAAGAAATGCATTTGAGTCTAGCTTTAAAGCTTGGAGAGAAGAACACATCATGGCTCAAATGAAAGTGTCGAACATGAATAAGTTCTGGCAGGGAAATCTATAGCTAAGTGCCCAGTTGTTCTCCACTGGGGCCGTGTTATCAGAATGACCTGCACTCATTCAGCAGCATTGTAGAATAAATGTTCAGTACCGCTGGCTAGCCACATGTATCTTGTGAAGTTGTCAGGATTGATTTTCCTTTCTGGGGATATAATATTTATTCATATCTGTTTTCAAGGTTGTTAAGAAGAAAAACACTGGCCTTCTCATTGCCTACAGCAGGCTTGGAGAATGCCATTTCCTGTGCCTTTATTTTCTAAATAGTGACATTTTTTTGCCTAAGAAAATACTGTTCTAAATTATTCTTAACAGAAAGACAGTTGGGGTGTATTGGGAAGTGTTTCATATATAAAAAAAAACTTCAATATTGACACTGAAATACTTTAAACCAATTACTCTTCAAAAACAGGTTGTGAGACTTGGTTTTCATTTTAGTTATTCTATGCATCTTTACTTAAGAAATACCTTTACAAAATTAGGACAGTCATAAGAATAATTTTACTCTATTGACATTGGCATTGCAAAAGACATATTTTTCAGAATATTTTGGTTTCTAAACTTTAATCACCTGTTGATGATTATGAAAATGCTCGTACATTTTAAATTTTTTTTAAGTTTTCTTTTTATTTAGTTTCTGTTTTCCACCATTATGTTATTTGAAAATATTGAAAGAAAAGAACAATGGTTTTGTTGAAATTAATCTACATATATTGACAATATCAAGTTATTCAGAAATAAGATTTATTTAATATTTATATTAAGATATATTTTCACTATTTTTGAAATCTGTGTTTTATCAACTAATATATATATATAATAAGCAGTTAGATATTTCATATGCCTAAAGATATAAGAAAAAATCACTCACTAAATTTAAATGTCATTGTAGGATAATTATATTTAGATTTGATATTCATCAGATACTATTTTAGTATAGCTTACTATGATGCCTATTTTCCCATATCCATACCAAAGCTTCATAGCTGTTAAAGCTAGACTTGACCTCTGCTAATGTATTATAGTTATTATATGCCCATCCTTGCAATTGCTGTCTTGTTTTAAATCATATATTTTGGATGCTTTCTCCCTCACTAAACTGTAAGCCTATGAGGGAAACTGGAAACTTTGGGGGAATTAAATGTGTCCATTTATAAAATGCTTATTTTTCAAATTAGATAAACCTAATATTATTTTTCTAGGAATGGTATTATGCACAGGTAAGAAATGAGGCATGATTATGGAGTTAGCAGGAGAGAAGCATTTTAGAATTTCTAAGAATTATTAGGGTCAATGCTGCAATGATCTCCCATGGAAATTATTCTCTGTAATATGTGTTAGCAATAGTAAATAACGTATTGTTCATTATCTTTAGTGGGTTCAGATCATTTGTGACCAAATCGACTATAAAATTCTTGAGTACTGCTTCACTCTATGCATTAAATTTCTTTACACCTAGCATGATGACCTACTAAAACTCACATTTAAATCCTATATTTTATTGATTATACTTGAAGTTAAAGAGTAATTCAAGTCTCAATTCAGCAAATGTTAATAGAATTCCCACTGTGTCCAGCACTATTTTCAGGACTGCCACTAGAAGGGAAAAAAGTCAATTCCTCCTCTCACTGTGTTTATAGCCTGTGGGAGAAAAGGACTAGTCGTCAAGCATATATAATCCACTGGAAGTGCTGTAATTCAGTGGGCTATTCATGCTATTGGAAAAAGTTGTCTAGTCTTAGTGGTTTGAGGTTCTTCCTCAAAGAACTGGCAAGCGTGATAAGAACAATAGGAGAAATGAAAGTTGGAAAGTTTAAGTGGTAGATGTACATTTTCCAGATAAGAACACATGTATAAGCCCCAGACTGAGAAAGGATATGGTCTTGGACATTCAAATATTGTTAGACTATAAAGCACAAGTGAGGGAGGAAAGGAAGACTTGAAGATCATACTAATAAGTCTGTACTTTATTTAAAACCAGTAAGTATTCATTGAAATGTTTTACTGGGATAGTAACATGATCAGGTTTTTATTTAAGGAAAATCATTAGTAAAAGTCTGGAAAATAAATTGGAGAGGCTCAAAAAAGTCCATCCAATTCAAAGTTTGTTTCATGCAAAAGGAATTATTGTAGCCTATATTGAAGTAAAAATAATACAAGGAAGCATAAAGAGCACAGGTTCAAAAGCTGATATCAATGGCTATCTCAGCAGAATTTGGAGCTTCAGGGTATGGATTGAGAAGGAAAGTGGAAGTTGAGGATTTGTCTCTCTCTCTCTCTCTCTCTCTCTTTTTAACTGCTTGATTTTGTCAAGGGTCCCAAGAGTCTTGGAACATGCTTTTGATCATTTCCTTTGTAAATCCTGCTTCTAGGTGTGTATCTTGCACTCCAGTATCCCATAGTCCTTGTATTTGAACATCAGTCAATGTTATACAGACAGAGTCCCAATCTAAAACCTGGTAACAAACACTTTGCTCATGGGTCTGCTGTTTTCTAGTCATCAATTCTCTCTTTAACCTCAAGTTCAAGTAAACCTTGGTTACTTGATTACTTGCACATTCTGATTAATTGCATATAGCGGTGGTTCTGCTCCATGGTTCTTGTACTTCCAGGCAATCTCTCAGCCTGTTCTATATCTCACCTTCCACAGAGAGCACTGTGGAAGAACCCAGCCTAGCCCTGTGCATTCCACCAGAGAATAAAAATGGAACTGATCATTGGGGTGGACCATTACTTCCTGTGCCAATTAGAGATGCGTTTAATACCTGCAGCATTTCTAAGAGCAAAAAATGATTCCTTCTTATATTAATACACTGATTTAACAAATGGGCATGCATTTAAAAAAGGGCAACTTTATATTAAAGATTTCTGAATTTGGTATGAAAATGGGATTTGTCTTTCTCAACGCTGCCTTAGGCAAATTAGCATAAGATGGTACTGTTTTCGGAGAAAAAGATATACAGGAGAAGAAATGAATTTGTGGACCAAAATCAGTTTTTTTTTTTTTTTATGTTTTAAAATTGAGATGTAAATTGAGAACAAAATAATAAAATAAAGGTTATCAACAACAGTAGCATAGACATACCATGCATTTTGATGAGAAAGAGACAAGGTGGAGACAGGTATAATTTGGAAAGTCATTATGATATGAATAATTGAAATCATATTAAAATACAGAGTCTAATAAACATTAGAGACTCAACAGAGGTAGGTTGAGAGGGGGTTGAGGGATGAAAAATTACCTGTCAGGTATATTAAAAGCCCAGACTTCACCACTTGTACTCCGCCCATGTAAGAAAATTCCATCCACCCAAATCTATTAGGAAGAAAGGAAAATTTCAAAGAATGAATGCATAGAAGGAAAAACTCAAGGGCCTACGTCTAAGGACAGATAAGTAAAGAAAAATATGAAAAGACTCTGGAAAGGATTCTTACAACTACTGAGCACCATTCCTATGAATGACCAGCTAGTGTCTTTACCAAGGAAAATGCTTAAGTAAAGCAATAAAACGAATATGGTCTATTCGCCTATGTAACAAAATCAATTGCACATTCTGAAATAAAAATTGGAGATATTAAGTTAGTTAAATTATTTAGATAAAACAGCTTCATTCAGTTTTGAAAATTACTTTAAATCATTTCTAAGAATAATTTTATAAGGAATTAATCATCTCACAATAACTCAAATATTAATTAAGAATGCAAAGAAACAGAGCATCATGAACACAGGGGACCTGACCCTGGGACATCATCAGGTTAGTGTCACAGAGGTCACAGCTGGCTTCACAGGACACCCACGCTGGACACAGGAACCACCTTACCTGATGCCGTACATACTGCTGCCTTGGTGAGTCAAATATACTCTGGTTTCTCTTTGTTACCTTTGGACTTCTTGTGTAATATGAGAGGTCCTGAGTAAGAGTACCTCTTTGTCTCTCAGCTTTTAAAGAGATCAGGGAAGAAATGTTTTTCCCTTTGGGCTTCCTTAATGGGAATAACGCAATGTTCTAGCCTGCCATTGTGTTTGCTTTGGTTTTGATAGGAGTAAGTTGGGGAGCTTCAAACATTTTGGTGATTGCCTCTGTTTTCTGAGTCACTATATAATTTCCCAAGAATACATAACTGTATATAATGTGGTTATTATTATTATTTATCTTTTATTTTTTTAACTGAATTGAAAATAGAGACAAAGCATTTTGACTGCCAATTCCTTTATATCTCTGGCTGCACACATATCTGCACACTTTAACACACGTACTTACATAGCTGGATATGCATGAAAAAAACAAATTAAGAACAAAAAAATTGCAAAGATTAAGTATCACTGTAGCACCTAATAGACTAAAACTTCCATTAAAGCTATAGCCTAAGGTTCAAAGACTCCATCTTTTACTTAGATTTTAATTTGCCTTTTATAACTCTGAATGGAATTTCTGAATTATAGATTTGTCTACAAGAAAATTTCCTAAAGTAATCCCAATAATTAAGAGTATAGAGGGGCCGACGGCGGCGGGGCCGGAGCGAGCAGGGGTTCGGCGGCCTCACCTGTCCCCATTTACCGGCGGCGACCCGCGGCGGTGGGCAGCGCGTCAGGCGGACAGAGCCGCCACCAGGTGTGCAACAGAGGAACATGGCTCAAGAAACTAATCACAGCCAAGTGCCTATGCTTTGTTCCACTGGCTGCGGATTTTATGGAAACCCTCGTACAAATGGCATGTGTTCAGTATGCTATAAAGAACATCTTCAAAGACAGAACAGTAGTAATGGTAGAATAAGCCCACCTGATAAGGTCTTAGACTGCCCTGGGTATAGAATCACTAATATGAAATGTGGTACTGTTACAGCAACTTCTGTCAGTAGTCTGTCTGAATCTTTACCAGTTCAGTGCACAGAGGGCAATGTCCCTGAAGCTCAGTCGACGCTAGACTCTACATCTTCATGTATGCAGCCAAGCCCTGTATCAAATCTGTCACTTTTATCAGAATCTGTAACATCTTCCCAAGTGGACAGTACCTCTGTGGATAAAGCAGTACCCGAAACAGAAGATCTGCAAGCTTCAGTATCAGATACGGCACAGCAGCCATCTGAAGAGCAAAGCAAGTCTCTTGAAAAACCAAAACAAAAAAAGAATCGCTGTTTCATGTGCAGGAAGAAAGTGGGACTTACTGGGTTTGAATGCCGATGTGGAAATGTTTACTGTGGTGTACACCGATACTCAGACGTACACAATTGCTCTTACAATTACAAAGCTGATGCTGCTGAGAAAATCAGAAAAGAAAATCCAGTAGTTGTTGGTGAAAAGATCAAGAAGATTTGAACTCCTGCTGGAATACAAAATCCTTTGACCATCTGCAAACTAAAAATTGACTTGACTTTTTTTTCCTAGTCGTTGGGAATGTAGAGCAATGTATCTTGCATAGACCTTTTAATCATGCATGTCATCAGAAGAATAGATTTTTGTTTTTGTTTTGAAAATGACTCTGAACATTTATTTCCATTGCAGTTTCTGTGGCTAAAAAGACTTAAAACTTTACAAGTATTATCCTTTTAAGATCATTTTAATTTTAGTTGAGTGCAGAGGGCTTTTATAACAAACATGGAGAAATTTTGGAGGGCTGTAATTTTTCCAGTATTAAACATGC